TTTTTTTTTTTTTTATTTTCCAACTGAAACTGAATAGATTTAATCTCAAGGGTAACTCAAGTGATAATAAAGACGAACTGCAAATCCAGACATCTCAAGTTCGACTCTTGGCAACCCTTTCAGACCACTCATGAGAAATTTATTTTTTATGAATACCCTCGTTCCGGCATTGATAACACGTCTTTGACCAGATAAGGGAGGAGATTAGTCAAAATGTACGACCTGGACACTCCTAACCCGTCAACCCCAACAAAAAAAAAAAAAAGAAGAGAAAACCGATGTTTAGTGAATCTTAATTTCATTCATATTTACTTTAATCCAAAAGAAAAAATATTCATATTTTTCAGAAGCATCAGAAAATGCCCAAGAAAAAGAAGAGAGATCGTATGGTTCAATTATGATGGAGCAACTAACAGGGAGAGAAGATGGTCGTATAGATCATATGCTTCAAGTATGTTCCTGCACTTTCTGGCTCCATTTATGGACCTCTAGTTAGTTAGTTGGTGTTTATTCATCATCTCGCTTTAATTTATCCTGGAAGAAAGAAGAATGTATGACCTCTGAGATCATCTGGGAAAACTTGAACCTGCACTTTTCTTTTTTGTCCGTTCTGTTGCATGTTTTAATTTTTGTGTGTTGGCCTACAGCTGGTTCTTGCCCCATATGAGAAACATGGTTAACTTTTATGGATTCCTTCTTGGAATGATGTCATGATTTACCACATTGCCTTCCATGCTTGCCAGCATCAAATGCAGTTGTAATATTCTCTGATAAAGCCATGTGTTTTATTTTATATGTGCAGCTCTTGACTTAGTTGCTTTATGGTCATGTGCTGAACAGGGAGTTCTATCTCGCTATCTTAGTACTGTTTAAGGCTTCTTTTGCTGAACTGAAGTGGTATTTTAACCTGTGATTTCTACTTTCTGGACATCACAGTGTTGCGAGGATTCGTCCTTGGTTTTTCTATCTAGCACATGTGTTCTGATACCAAAATTGCTTAAGTAACTGATACTCGGATGGAAACCTGAGAATTGAATCGCAGGTTATCTGGAGGGGCGTTTTAGTGATATGAAGTACTGTGTCTTCCCTGTTTCTTGACTAATGAGAACAGAAATGCTACTAGCATAGTTATCTTTCGTCGAACAATAATCAACATCTAGCAAATCAGGCAGGTCCTTTGTGGTGTCATTGACTAAAGTTGGAGATGGTTGACCTGCATAGCTAATCCTCATCTTGAAGAAAGAGTAGATAGTATCCATTGGAAACTCAGATAGCGACCTTGATCATAGGCAGCTCTTCTTCTTTTTATGATTTATGACTTTTGTTGCATACAGCCATTGATGGATGAGTATCTGGGTGTGTTGTTGCCAGACATAAATATCTGACCTGATGAAATAGTGACCGGATAAAATGAATGAGTTTCAATGTCCAAAATGGTATGTCGCACAACCAAACGTTATGTATGGGTTTCTTTGTTATGCAGTTAATGTTTATGTCCTGACATGCTAGGTTTGCTGGTTTGCTTTGTTTCTGTCCAACTAGAGTGTTGAAAAAAATGTTTAGATTCTCCATTTATCATGGATTGATTTCTTCTTTTTCTTTTTTCTCTTCATGCAGGATAAAACATTCCAGCATCCATACATTTCTGCTATTGGAGCACATACGTAAGTGTCAACTCTGTAATTTGCACTCAGAATTGTAAATTAACACTTCTTTGTGATTGTTATTTCTTATTAGTGTTTATTCGTTGAGGTTGAATGTGGTGTCTTGCAAGCAAACTTGTTTCAGCTTGTCAGGGTTCAAGGTTCGGTGTTTATTAGAGGACAATTTATGCTTTTAACTTTTGGCAAGTGTCATTTCCTAATATGGCTGCACTTCTCTACAACATGAGAATTGTAAAACCAATGGTATTAGGAGAAGTTCTTTGGTTATGATAGTGCACTGGAGTGTGCCGCAGTAAGTGTGATTGTACTACTTCAGAAATGGGATTCGGGATGTAAAAGGTTCTTGAAAACTTAATGAAATCACTGAGGAGAGGTCCCCTCGAGCGGGCTAAGCCAGTGCACTGGATGATAGAGTTTGCAGGTGGGAGTCCAACTACAGTGCTCCTGAGCCAACCTGTACACTTTTTACCATGTTCCCAAAATGTCGGTAGTCGTAATGCTAAATGCTAAGCTACTAAGTGGCTATAGTAGGTTAGCGNAACTACAGTGCTCCTGAGCCAACCTGTACACTTTTTACCATGTTCCCAAAATGTCGATAGTCGTAATGCTAAATGCTAAGCTACTAAGTGGCTATAGTAGGTTAGTGTACACATGGTTTCAATTTCATCGGCAAAAATGCCTGTATCTTCCTGTGTTATTTTGTAATCTGACGGGGAATATTGTAAATCAAATATCCTCTCTTCTTTCTCTGCTTTCCTTCATCAGAATATCTCTGTTTCACTTTCTGCAACATTTAACTCAGTCAACCGCCATTGCCATCATCCTCTAAGCTGAAGCCCACCAATAATTGTGCACAGACCAATAGGATCATTTAACTCGGATAGTTTATGGGTTTGAATAGTGATAGATCTCATTTGGCTTGTCTAGCTTCACAGTTGATTACTCTCCAGATGTTTAGTCAGAGTCATTTGCGTGTTACTTTGATAGACTACTCACATTGACTTTAGGGGTGATGTTCTCTGCTTCAACCCCCTTTGTTAAATGATTTCTTCTTCATATATATAGATATAGGATTCAATTTTCAAAATTTTGTTTCTGGTGCATTGCTTCGGTGACCTAGAAAGTAGAAACATTTTGAAAATATTTGGAAAACGTTTCAGAAATAAAATGGAAACCAATAAAAAATTTATTTCTAAAACACTCCGAAATATTGGTTAAAATATATGAAAACATCTTGAAACACCCCGACACAATAGTGGAAGTATGCCTAAACATCTTGAAACATTCTAAAATACCTCGATGCATTTAAATTTCGATTCAATCATAATTCTTTTTTTTTTTTTGGTGCTAAAACGATGTCTTTTCACCTGGAAATTTTTTTAAGCCCTGGCCAGTGATTGTTTCATTGCCTAGGGCCAAAAAAAAAAAAATTAAATCCCCTCTGATCAAATGAAAAACCAAATGCTCCTTCAATCCATCAAATAGCAGAAGCTGCTCCCTCTCTCTAATCCATCGCACAGCTTCTTCGAAAATCTTCCTAGATGCACTTGTCTTCATCCACTGGCTCTGTGAAGAATTTGATTGAACCTTTGTTGCAAACCGAAACCCTAGGCCTTTAGTCTTCTTCCTCCTTTGGTTCTTGGATTGGTGTTTGCTGTAACACAGACCCAAAACTCCTTTCATTCTTCTAGCTCCTTTGCCTGCAAGACAACTAAAAATTCAACAGTAAGTACAAAATTGACAAATTTTTTTATCTCTTATTGATTATATAAATATTAATACTAATGTTAATATTGTTCAATTGAATCAAAATTCCTGATTAATGTTAATGTTGTTCAAGCAGAAACACTACTACAATTATATCACTGGTTGGAAGGCTGTACTTTGAGAACAATTGAAGCATCACCAAGATCCTATTGTGAAATGAAAATTAAAGGTCTTTGAATATTTATATTAGTGAACTATGTTGGAAACTTGAATAGTTGGTGGAACATTAATGAAATGAAATGTTATTGCGACTTTTTTGCAAAGGTATATATATTTTATTAATAATTATTTAAAATTGCGCGTATCTTACAATACACGATACGTTACAATGCACAATACACTATTTTTGAAAAACGATACGCCTTCCTCGACAACTATGGTTAAAAGTACATTTTGTGCTACAACCTTTCCTTTCTAATAGAAAAGAATCTCATGATTTTAAATCGATCTTACTAGAGATCGTAAATCCCAAGTTTGTCTATGAAGAGTGAATCTAATAGTATTAGTATCTATAATTGATTTGCATGTGTAATACTAATCAATAGAGCCTCGTTGGGAAGGGCTACAAGATGTCATGCATTGGAACCCATGAATTTCTTCTCTCTCTCTTTCTTGGTGGTAAGTGCTACAATGATTGTTGGCAATGATTAGTATGAAACATTTTTTTTACTTCGAAGCTATTCGAGTTGAATCCACTTTTTGGAAAGTATGAGTCAAAGCAATGACAACAATATTTTTAGTGGATTATATTTCACATCCGAGATGGTTCTTATTTGTGAGGGGGAGAGAGGGAGATGGGCTGCTATAAGGGATCAAATTGATAGGTTTCCAAATTAGGTCAGAAAGTGAAAGTGATAGGAACAAGTAAAAAAAATTACGATTTAAACACAAAAGAAAAAATGATGGCGATGCTTTTGACCATTGCCACTAGAGTACTTCATAGTTGCTCGCAATGATTGGAAAAGAGGTCACCCAAACCACAGGTCTTCCTGGTATTTAAGGATTTTTCATATTCTCTTTGCTGGTATTTGTCCTTATTTTTATGAGGTAAGTGGCTTTTGCCGATGAATAAATGGCTGCACTTCTAACTTTCTGCATCCATGTAGTAGGTTGCCATTTTCCTTTATAATTGTTATCCTTGTTACTAGTAGTAATGATTTTTCCGTCTATGTATATCTTATTGTTGTGTCAACTTTACATGGATGGTATATAGTTCAGAAGTAAAAACTATAATACTATGTTAGAAGAATGATAGCAGAAGAGAAGAAGATAAAGTGAAAGGAAAAGAATAAGAGAAGATGAGAATAATCTGTGTGTAGGTTATGTTGTCATTAACTCTGTTATTTATACTAAACTAATATTATGAGAAATACAATATTACTATTCACCACTCAAAATATAAAATAAGAACTCTATCACCCTCTTTCAAGCTGGAGCATAAAGATCAAATATACCTAGCTTGGAACAAAGATTATTAAAGACATATCAAACTAATGGTTTGGTAAGGATGTCACTCAACTAATCACTAAACTTGATGTATGGTGTGATAGTTGTCTTACGCATCAAGAGATCTCGGATAAAATGAAAATCCACTTCGATGTATTTGGTCCTCTCATGAAATACCAAATTATTGCAGATGAAAATAGCTGTCTGGTTGTCACAATACATCTCCATAGGACAAAGCATATTGATACCCAGAGAGAATGAGCCCACAACAACTCGAATGCGGTATGAGTCATAGCCTTGTCTTTAGCCTTTGCCCTCAAACAGCAACTTCATTATGTTTCTTGCTAGTAAAAAGATTACAACCAATAAAAATACAGTAACTTGAGGTAGATCATCTATCAATACGAATACCAATCAGTCAGAAATAGAAACGACAGTAACAATCATGGATGATAAAGAACAATTTAATAATTCTTTCTCCGGTGCTCCTTTCAAATACCAAATATTATGGTAGATGGCCTCCAATATTATGGTAGATGGCCTCCCAATGAGGTTTACAANTAAAGAACAATTTAATAATTCTTTCTCCGGTGCTCCTTTCAAATACCAAATATTATGGTAGATGGCCTCCCAATGAGGTTTACAAGGAGCATACATGAATTGACTAACCACATCAACATAAGTAATGTCAGGACGTGTAAGATAAATCAGCTTATCAATCAATTGTCCTTAGCATCTAATTTAGCTATACAATCCATAGGAGTAACAGTTGGACGTGTACATAGAGTCCCAGTCTTAGATAATAAATCCAATACATACTTTCGTTTGCATAAACGGATGCCTNTCAGGACGTGTAAGATAAATCAGCTTATCAATCAATTGTCCTTAGCATCTAATTTAACTATACAATCCATAGGAGTAACAGTTGGACGTGTACATAGAGTCCCAGTCTTAGATAATAAATCCAATGCATACTTTCGTTTGCACAAACGGATGCATTCTTTTGACCAAAAAACCTCAATTCCAAGAAAGTATTGAAGAATACCTCAATCTTTGGTATGAAACTACTTTCCCAAATGGACCTTGAAATGTGCAATACCATCTGAATCATTATTACTAATGATAATATCATCAATAGAAGCAATAAGAATAACAACGCCAGTGAAAGAATGACAAATGCAAATTGAATGGTCTAAAGTAGAATGCTAAAAACCATGCTGAATTACAATAGTACTGAATTTATCAAATCAAACATCTAGTGATTGTTTGAGGCCATATAGTGCTCTTTTCAGATGACACTAATTGTTTCCTTACCAGATGTAACATAACATGGAGGCTGTACCATTTATATTTATATATCCTCCCGTAGGTCTCTATGTAAAAAAGCCTTCTTGATGGCCAGTTGATACAAAGGTCAATCACAACTAACTCTAACAGAAATAAGAATTCTAACAGAGTTAA